ATTATGTTGATTTGTGTTGATTCTCTTTTTGTCTTAATAAGTTTGGCTAGAGGCTTATCTATTTTGTTTATTTTCTCAAAGAACCAGCTCTTGGTTTCATTGATTTTTTCTATTGTTTTATTCTTCTCAATTTTGTTTATTTCTTCTCTGATCTTTATTATGTCCCTCCTTCTGCTGACTGTAGGCCTCATTTGTTCTTCTTTTTCCAGTCTTGATAATTGTGATGTTAGACTACTCATTTGGGATTGTTCTTCCTTCTTTAAGTGTGCCTGGATTGCTATATACTTTCCTCTTAAGACTGCTCTCGCTGCATCCCACAGAAGTTGGGGCTTTGTGTTGTTGTTATCATTTGTTTCCATATAGTCCTTGATCTCTATTTTAATTTGTTTGTTGATCCATTGATTATTTAGGAGCATGTTGTTAAGCTTCCATGTGTTTGTGAGCCTTTTTCTTTGCGCAATTTAGTTCTAGTTTTATTACCTTTGTGGTCTGAAAAGTTGGTTGGTAGAATTTCAATCTTTTGGAATTTACTGAGCTCTTTTTGTGGCCGAGTATATGTATGGTCTATTCTGGAGAATGTTCCATGTGCTCTTGAGACGAATGTATATCCTGTTGCTTTTGGATATAGAGTTCTATGGATGTCTATTAGGTCCATCTGTTCTAGTGTGTTGTTCAGTGCCTCTGTGTCCTTACTTATTTTCTGTCTGGTGGATCTGTCCTTTGGAGTAAGTGGTGTGTTGAAGTCTCCTGAAATGAATGCATTGCATTCTGTTTCCTCCTTTAGTACTGTTAGTATTTGTTTCACAAATGTTGGTGCTCCTGTGTTGGGTGCATATATTTTTATAATGGTTATAGCCTCTTGTTAGACTGAGCCCTTTATCATTATGTAGTATCCTTCTTTATCTCTTGTCACTTTCTTTGTTTTGAAGTCTATTTTGTCTGATGCTAGTACTGCAACACCTGCTTTTTTCTCCCTTTTGTTTGCATGAAACATCTTTTTCCATCCCTTGACTTTTAATCTGCGCATGTCTTTGGGTTTGAGGTGAGTCTCTTGTAAGCAGCATATAGATGGGTGTTGCTTTTTTATCCATTCTATTTCTCTGTATCTTTTGATTGGTGGATTCAGTCCATTTACATGGAGGGTGATTATTGAAAGATATGTACTTATTGCCATTACAGGCTTTAGATTCGTGCTTACCAAAGGTTTAAGGTTAGCTTCTTTAGTATCTTACTGTCTAACTTAATGCACTTATTGAGCTGTTATAAACACTGTCTGGTGATTCTTTATTTCTCTCCCTTCTTATTCCTTCTCCTTCATTCTTTATATGTTGGTTGTTTTATTCTGTGCTCTTTTGTGTTTCTTTTAACTGCTTTTGTGGGTAGTTGATTTTATTTTTTGCCTTTAGTTAGTATTTGGTTGGTCTGCTTTCTTTGCTGTGACTTTATTTTTTCTGGTGAAATCTATTTAGCCTTAGGAGTGCTCCCATCTAGAGCAGTCCCTCTAGAATACCCTGTAGAGGTGTTTTGTGGGAGGCAAATTTCCTCAACTTTTGCTTGTCTGGGGATTGTTTAATCCCTCCTTCATATTTAAATGATAATCGTGCTGGATACAGTATTCTTGGCCCTTCTGTTTCATTGCATTAAATATATCATGCCATTCTCTTCTGGCCTGTAAGGTTTCTGTTGAGAAGTCTGATAGCCTGATGGGTTTTCCTTTGTAGGTGACCTTTTTCCTCTCTGTGGCTGCCTTTAAAACTCTGTCCTTGTCCTTGATCTTTGCCATTTTAATTATTACATGTCTTGGTGGTGTCCTCCTTGGGTCCCTTCTGTTGGAAGTTCTATGTACTTCCGTGTTCTGATCGATTATTTCCTCCCCCAGTTTGGGGAAGTTTTCAGCAATTATTTCTTCAAATACACTTTCTATCCCTTTTTCTCTCTCTTCTTCTGGTACCCCTCTAATGCGGATATTGTTCCTTTTGGATTGGTCACACAGTTCTCTTAATATTGTTCCATTCCTGGAGATCCTTTTGTCTCTCTCTGCGTCAGCTTCTCTGTGTTCCTGTTCTCTGATTTCTGTTCCATTAATGGTCTCTTGCACCTGATCTAGTCTGCTCTTAAGTCCTTCCAGAGAACGTTTCATTTCTGTAATCTCTCTCTGGACTTCATCCCTTAGCTCTTGCATATTTCTCTAAACATCCATCAGCATGGTTATGACCTTTATTTTGAATTCTTTTTCAGGGAGATTGGTTAGGTCTATCTCCCCAGATTCCTTCTCAGGGAAGGGTGTCTGAATTAGTCTGGTTTGTATCAATTCTTCTGCCTTTTCATGGCGATAGAGGTAGTTGTGAGGAGCTGGCATGTGTGTCATCTGGGAGAACGTCCCTTCTTCCTAGTTTGTGGCCTTCCTATCTTGGGAGAATGGTGACCCCTAGCAGCTTGTTCCGGGCAGCTACGTGCAGACGGGGTCTCTGATTCTTGCCTGGCTGCTGTGGAATTAAGCTCTGCAGTTGCTGTGGGCGTGGCCGCTCTCAGGCTGCTGCTCCACTATGGCGGAACCACATCGGAGGGGAAACGGGCGGGAGGCTGTTTATTGCCATGAGAGGCCTCTGAGCTGCGCTGCTGCCCAGGGGGTTATGGCGCCCAGAGTTGCCTGGGATTCCCAGCTGCTGGGCTAAGTGTCCCGGGATGCTTCCATCCAGCTGTGGGGTCCCTGTCCCTTTAAGGCTTTCAAAAAGCACTCGCTTTGCTTTGTCACAGGGGTGCCGGCTATGGGGACCCACTCACAGGTTTTACTGTCCTGTTTCCCTAGTATCCAGCACCCCACACACGCACTGTGTGTCTGTGCTCCAGTGCAGATGGCTAGGGCTGGCTGTTTAGCAGTCCTGGGCTCCCTCTCCCTGCCTGCTCCGACTCCTCTCCTCCTGCCGGGAGCTGGGGTGAGGGGCGCTTGGGTCCCACTGGGCCCTGGCTTGTATCTTACCCCCTTCACGAGGTGCTGGGTTCTTGCAGGTGTGGATGTATTCGGGCTATTGTCCTGTGTCTTCTGAGTTAATATATTTTTAAGTTCTCTTTCTTGTTAGAAGATGAATGAATGTTTTTAAACTTCTTATTTAGAAATAATTCAAAATTGGAAAAATAGTTGCAGAACTAAAAGTAATAACAGTATAATTTTTACTCAGTCACTTGTTTTATCATGTGTGCTCATGTGTACCTTCCCCATATGTTTGTTTGAAAATCAACTTAAATGCGGTATTAAAGTCCTTACTTTTAATTTGGAATGCTTTCTTCATTTTTTCTTCTTTAATTATGTAAGTAATGCCTGCATTCTGTTTAGAACATTTGAAAATTTTATAAATAATGGTAAAAGGAGAAACCAATCATGATTTTCCTCTCACCCTCTGACATCTTGTGAATAATCTTTCAGGCACCTTTCTATGCCAACATTATTCAACCACATATTTGTGTGTATAGTTACTATATGCCTCTCTCAGGAGATAGTAGTTGTAAATCTGATCCTTAGTGTTTCTGATGCGGTGTTAGCAGCTGCACAGAAGAGTGTGGCAAGCTCTGGACTTGAAAGTGACACTGTGCCTTTGGTGGAGTGGTGACTGCTAACTAGCCTCCCACAGGGCTCATTTGGAGCATAGCTGTACAAATTCCCTGGGTAACTTGTTCCTCAAGCTGTTTTAGGACAATGGACCTAAGGAGTTGGAGCTCAAAAGCACCAAATAATGTGTTCTGATCCACAGTTACTCAGTGGTGCAGCCAACAGGACGTCGCAGGTGAAAGTTGTGGAGGTCAAGCCTGATATGTTTCCTCCTTATAAGTACAGCTGCACTGTCACACTGGTGAGCGCAACTGGTGGTGGGCTGGCATGAGGTGGTTTGGGTTTGTGGTTGAAGGCGAGTAGGAGTCTGAAAGGGTGGGGAGTAGTAGTTGGGAGTAAGAGTGAGTGAGGGATGGATCATCGATTCTGAAGATCGAGTCACAGACAAATGATAGCTACTGGGCAAGTCAGCTAGGTTTGCGTTTTCAGGTGAGAGCTGCAGAGTGTAGAGTGGCATTTCCAGAGTGTAGGTCAGCTGAGACCAGGATATTTCTGGGAGACTAATTGGAAATGAGAATCCAGTCCAGCTTTAGCATTCAACAGTCTTTGAACCTTTTAGCCTCAAGAAATCTCACTGATCTGCCTTGAGGGGAAAGAGCATGGCACACGAAACGGGTCAGGATCCAAGATGGAGCCTGGCCATTCCACATCTAAACTGTACCTTGCAAGATGGGCAGGATTTGGATGGTTTGAGAAATGTGTTTTTCCTCCCTAAAACAGAGTCACATTCAATATTAGTACCTGAAAAGGGTTGAGAAATGCTTTTTCAGTAAAGCAGTTTATTTTGTTTAACCTGGCATTTCTCACCAATTTCCCTCTCCCACCCCATTTTATTTTTAATGTGATACATATTAACATCCCAATAAACAAATGTGTGACTCTGGGATCATGCTTTTGCAGGATAAGCACATGGAGCAGTGGAGTAAACACTAGATGTTGAGAAACTTAACATAGCCCTGGCTCTGCTGCCAGCATGCCGCATGACCTTGGGCAGGGCTCTTCCCTGGTCCTCGGTTCTCACTGTTGGTAAAATGCTGCATTGGTTTAGATACCGTGTTAGGGATCCTCTTGCTCTTAATACTCTCTTTTTTTTTAATCCTTAAGGTACCAACCAACCAGATACCTTTTGGCAGAATCTCTGGCTGAGTTGAGTTAGATACACCAATTTTCAGAGAGAAGCTAGATTTTTAAAAATTCTTACCTGGTGAAGGCAGACAGGTGCATAAAGAGTCATTCAATCATTCAAAAAAATATTTATTGAGCACCTGCTTTGTGCTAGGCCCTTTGCTGGGACTCTAATAGTAACAAAACAGCACAGTATAGTGTGTTAACACATTAGTTTGATCTGATCCTAAAGGAGAAAGGCTCTGTTACCCTAGAGATCTGCTCAGGTTTCTTGTCCAAAGAACCAATTACTACCTTCTCCATGCCATCCATACCTTTGCTGCTTGCTCCCTCCCTTTGGCTGCAGGAGGCCCTTAGGGTTACCATCTGGTGGGAACTGCCCAGAACCTTCTTTGGCTTATTAGACAACAACTTGTCATAAGAAACTAGATGATAGAGCTTTGAGCTGAAATAGTCCAAAAATCACAATTTGTCTTTAGGCAATCTTTAGTCCTCCACAGTCTCTAGTACTCTCTGTTAGAACAGGCCTGCTTCACTCTACCAGTTGCCTGGACACTGAAAGCATTTGAAATTCTGACCCTTGAGAGTTAACTTACGTGTTTTGTTGGTGGGGAAGGGCCTGCCAAAACTATATAGGCTGTATTAAGATTGAAGGACTAACTGCAGATAAGACTTCAGGGCCCCTTGGAAGTTAATCTAAATCTAGTTTTACATTTGCCACTCTCTTTTCTGATTTACTAAAAGCTGGTCATCCTCATTCTTGGCTCAGGTGCAGGTATAACTTAACTTTTATAGAATTGAACGCTGGTCTTTCTCTTTTAGGATTTGGGCCTGGCTACCTCAAGAGGCCGGGGAAAGTGCAAGAATCCCTCTTGTAGCTACGTCTACACCAACCGGCATAAACCGCGGATTTGTCCCAGCTGTGGTTTTAACCTCACCAAAGACCGGACTGAGAAAACCACCAAGGCTCTCGTGAGTTCCTTCCCTAAACACATTCCCCAGCTTTGGGCTGGGCTCTGTTAGCAGATCTGTTTTAGTAGAAATGAAAGTATTTCTTAGTACATAATAGTAGAGTGCCAGAACTGGAACCAGGTTGTAGGTTCTGAACCTGGGCAAGTGCTTTCTTCCCTCTAGACTTTGTCCTCATTGCTCAGGTAAGGGGGTTGACCACATGTTTGGTCACTGATTACCTTCTGGCCCAGTGGACCAGGAGATCATTCACCAAAGAGTGTGGCAACCCAGGCTTTAAAGAGGATTCTGAAGGAGAGAGGAATGAAAGGATTACACCCTCTTAAATCTGAGGCCTGGAAGGACTTGTCAGTAGTATTTTGGTGAATAGGTAGAGATTGCCAACCCCAAGACTTGGTAGACTAGCTCACTGCTTCCCAGGCTTCTTGCTGAGCTTTTGGCTAATCACAGAGCTTTACTTTTAGCATTCTTGGCAAACTTGCTTTGAAGTTGGACCAAACTATTTAGATGGTTAAGCACATTCCACTTGCCCCCTTAGGATTCATTTTTTACTTATTCGAACCAGGAAAATGGGCCTTTTCAAAGGCCCTCTGAAATTCCACCTGCATATTTGAGTGAACAGAAAGATACAGCACCTAAGGCAGAACAAAATGCATTAAACAGAATGACTAGGATGACGATCACAAGAGAAATCTCACTGATCTGCCTTGAGGGGAAACAGCATGTCACACAAAACAGGTCAGGATCCAAGATGGAGCCTGGCCACTCCACATCTAAACTGGACATTGCAAGATGGGCAGGATTTGGATGAAATGGGGGAAAGGCATCTGCCTTCCCACCCTGGAGCCTCCTTATACTGTGTGGTGATTGGTAATTATGGGATAGAACTGAGTTCTCTGTAGGTGGGTGGCGTAAACATTCCTTTCTCCTATTTTGTTGGTACAGTTTGCAGTACGGAAATGGGTGTTGGTCTCTAGATCTAAGATGATGAGATGACTTCATTTTCCTGCTCAGACAGGAATTTATCTAGGGATTCTTGCCAAATGATTTCAAATCCCACTGTTATTTATATGCTGTCTTTGGCTAACTAGTAGCTGCCTACCCACAGGACCCTCATCTTTAGACATTCCTTCACCTTCTAATTTTCTCATGTTGAAGAAATAAAATGTAATTATTGTTTTCCACAAAATGAAACACAGCAGAAACCCAGGGGCCTTAGCTTGTATTGCTCTCTGAGGGCCCCCTGGCGCCCATACATTGCCTATGCAGTTTGTCTTCAGTGGCTGTAAATAAGGCTGAAGTGGTCTTCATTCCTTTCCATCTTTCTTCTGTGGCTCAGAGGTGAAGGACCATACATACTGCCAAGCGAGCTTCCAGTCCATGGTTCAGCATAGTCATGACAGAGAACACACAGCTTCCCAGGGCTACTCACTCTAGTGTCAGTCAGTTCTACAGCCACCCATTCATCCATTCTTTTAGCAAGCATATGCTGAATGTCTACTACTGGTCAGGCTTTTGGAAATCGAAAGATGAATAGGACATGGCACCTTCCCTTGAGGAGCTTACAATCCAGTGGGAAAGAAGATAAGTAACCAAACTGTTAGAAATGAGACAAGAGTTGTCACAGATGTGCAGAGTTAATAGAAAGCTGCTTCTTGTTATTATGCAGTTAATTTCTACAAAGCAACATATATTATGCCCAGCAAATGTGAATCGGCATCTTTTGTGTGTCCACACTGGTATTGGGAAGCAGTGGGACTGTATACTCACTCACTGGAGGGGGACAGTGGTTTACCAACTGTGAGGCAGTAAATTTAGGCAGTAAAGCATTGTACTCTGGGAGCACAGAGGGAGTGGTTCCTGCTGCTGCGTTTGCATAAGGGATCAGGGAGGAACCTCCCTTGAAAACCTGCCTGGGAAAGGATCTGTTTTTAATGAGCATTTCAGAACCTTATTCCTGAAACAAGCTAACTGGTATACAAAGTTCCCTTGTACCCAGAAGCTACAGAGTATCAAAGATAGATACTAAAAACAGTATAGATACTTTTTTGCACATCAGCTACCATTTATAAAGTTGTCATTGCATCTGAGGTACTGTGTGCAAAGTGCTTTACTTGCAAAACTCTTTACTCTGTATAACAACTCTAGGAGATTACTAGTATTTTGGTCTTCCATTTCATAGGTAAGGAAATTGAGGCTCAGAAAGATTAAGTAAATTGCCTTGGATCACACATGTACAGCTGTTATGTGGCATATCTAGAACTGAAACACAGGTCTGTTAATGTCCAAAATCCATACCTGGTGAATGGAAGCTGACTTTTGAATCCACGACCAAGTAGTGTGTACATTTCCTTTATTTTACTGATAGAAGTTGAGCCGGAGGGGGGGGGGGGGGGGGGGGGAGGGGGGGA